TTCTGCAGAAAAAAAAGTATTGCACATTGTTTGGCCTTTCACACCTCATACCTCAGTGGAACTTATAAATTAAACATTATATGAAAAATTTAAACTTAAATGGAAATTAGAAATATTGCCTTGGCGACTAACTGAAATAAAACAAGTTGAAGTTGAAGTACTAAAGAAAACTAAAACTGAATAAAAAAATAAATAGGAAAAATAATAAATAAATAAAGGCACATAAACAATTACAAAAATATTATGAAAATATAGTTATTTTTGCTTGAAAATTAAATTAGATTTTATAAAATGGTTTAAATATTAACCATGCAGTAATGCCTATTTCTTTGGATAATGCAGTAAATTAAAACTTCACACATGAAAGATACTTCATCTCATTTGATTATTTTGGATGCAAATCAGAGGATAAGGTGATTTATATTCATGGCATCAGTGCAAAAACAGCTTTGTGACAATTTCAGAACTGCTAAACAGACTTTATATGAACAGAAGACTATCACATAATCACACTATCACAGTACTGATAGTTATACTAACTAGTCTTTTCTCAGTACAGGCATTGCCCTGGAATAACAATGGCTCCTGCTTGGCAAGCCGAATGAAGCTAATGATGAAGATTTCATATATCAAAGGCTCAGTGGCATACAAGAGTCTGCAAACACATCAGATGCTGGCTTTTAATAGGATGGCAAACTAGGGCTTGGATAGTTACTAGTGTACCATTTCTAGTCATGATAGTCAAAAAAAGAACATTCTGAATTTGTGTAAAGGATTCAATAGTTTATCAGTCTATGTTCATTCTGTTCAAGTGAATCACATTAGCAGTGAAATTAGAAGTGCAATCCAGTCTTCAATTATTAATAAAACACAAAACGTGTTGAAGCCAGAGTGTCGCTGCGGTGAGTTCGGCCACCGCTGACACAAATGTGCAGTTGCTCAGAAACAAATTACAGGTAATGTAGCCGTGAGCGTGTGTGATGCCAAAATACCCAAATTACGACCGAGCGACACATCTGTTATTTACAGTGAAAAACTGACTGGCACACATTCAAATGTGCCATTTGCTCCTCATCTCATCTCAGTCTGGTGGTGAGTGATGCTCATGCTGTCAATAATCTGGAAAAAAAAAATAAAAATAAAACTCCTTTGCACCCTCAGCATTCCTATTCAAAGATGTCATAGGCAGACAGGGATAGAACTATCTCAGATATACTAACGATATATAATTTGATAGATCACAGTATACTGGAGCCTTGCAATATACAAGCATCAAAATCATACCAATGCCACATTATTGTTCAATAAAAAATATTAATTTAAAAATATAAAAATATATATTTGTACATTAAAATGATGTCTATAATAGGACAAATAAATAAATCAATACACAGTTTCCCTTGCTTCACTGCTTCACTAGCAGAGTTGCCAAGTCTGCAGCTTGTCCATGGATTTGTCCTCATTTTAAATTATTTTTAGAGCACAATTTGATGGTTTTGAAAAAGCATACTATTACTAAAATTGCATATTATATACATAACCTTAAAAATATGCATACATAATTATTCTTTGACAAACAATACTATTACTTATATTCCATATTATGTAAGTAAATACAAGTAAAAATGTGCATTCTGCATGGCAAGGTTTGACAAAGCATACTATTACTTAAAGTGTATTATATATTATGTAATATTAGTAGAAATATGTGTACGTTTTGCAAAGTTTGATGGTTTGACAAAGCATACTAATTATGCTGCATATTATATAAGTAAAAATATAAATGCATTTAGCAAGGTTTGATGGTTTGACATTATATTGCATGTTTTATAAGGAAAAATATGCTAATAAACTGCAAGTTTTCATGCACTGACAAACAACAAATAAATATAAGCAAAAAATATGCATGCATTTTGCAAGGTTTAATGGTTTGACATGCTATTACTTATACCACATATTATATAAATAAATAAAAAATGCATACATATTGCAAGGTTTAATGGTTTGACATTATATTGTATATTATATAAGTAAATATAAACAAAAAATTGCATGTCTTTTGCAAAGTTTGGTGGTTAGACAAAGCATTCTGTTACTTATACCACATATTATAGGTAAAATAAAAGTAAAAATATGCATAGGCCTATATGAGTATTTTTCAGTATTCAGTAAAAAAAACTTTGTTTGAAATAATTACACTTACATCATTTCTATTCTATAGGCATGTGAATCTGCAGGAAAATGAAAAAAGCAGCACAGTACTGTATGCATTTACATCATCCAAGCAACCCTATAAAGCTCCCTAAATATTACAAGACTTCCAGCAATGATGATGCTGTTGGGTTTTGTTTTCTCACAATGAACTTGATGGTTTTTGATCTTTACATGTTTGATATTGCTATCTAGCTCCGCAGAAGAAAGAAAGCTGAAATGCATATCTCTAAGTGGCATAGTTTGAGTTTTAAGCGATTCCCTTTCATGGGAACTTCGAACTGCGTCCTCTAGGGGTCGCTATGGGGAACGCCTCGTTGTGACCCGTGTCTGAAGCATACATTGAAAAAACACCAACTCGTTGGCCGGCGACAGCCATGACGTCACTACCGGTGCGACTCCAGTATAAATCGGCGCCGGGAGCTACACATCATTCTCTTCTTCGTCTTCATTGACTGTTCTGTTTGAAGCGTGCATTTTCAAGGAAAAAGTAAGAGCTATCTATTTATTATGGCGAGCACTAGTAGAGCATTTAGAAGGTGTGTGCATCCGTGTCAGCGCTAGTTGACACCAGATGACACACACGATTTATGTGTTGTTTGTTTGGGCGAGGAGCACGCACGCGATGTCCTCGAGGGGGCAATCTGCGTGCATTGCGAGTTTTTTCCAATGAAAAAACTCCGTTCTCGTTTGTCTCTCTTTTCAAGTAAAGAGGGGCAGCCATCTGCTTCCCGCGGTTCAGGACCCGCCGCTGCTGAGGCACGGAGGAGAATGAGCTCGTGGGGATCTCAGGGGGACCTGGCCGATGAGTTTAGAGAGGGGCTTTCCTTCTCGCGCTCATCGGCGGGGGGCGAGAGACAGCCACTGGAGGATGATGTTCTCTCTTTAACATCATCCGATCCAGGGGCCAGTGCTCTGCTGGGTTCAGCCCAGGAAGAGCAGGAAATGGATGATGAGAGCGAAGAAGCTGAGGCTGAGCCTTCTCAATCCTCCTGCCCTGCGTATGATGAGCTCTTAGAGGTTATGGATCGCGCCACGGCAAGACTTGACTTGCCATGGAAGCGGACTAAGGAAGTGGCGTCGCGAGGTCGTCTCGACGAACGTTATCTTTCTGGCCATAACCCTCCAGCTCAGGTGAGTCTTCCTTTCCTTCCTGATCTCCATACTGAGATCGAGAAGGAATGGAAGAAGCCGTTTTCCTCACGCATCCATCGGTTTCAGCATACCAGTTATGCGAATATCGAGGCGGTGCGCGAAAACGGCTATGAGAGAATGCCCCCTGTAGAAGAGACGCTAGCTAGCTATCTCTCTATGGGAGAGACATCATCTCTCAAAACTCCCTCCTTGCCATCCATGCCTCTTCAAGCTACATCTAAAATGAATGGCAAGGCATACGCAGCAGCAGGTCAGGCTGTTGCTTCACTGCACACGATGGCGGTGCTCCAAGCATACCAGGCTGATCTGCTGAAAGACCTGGATAAAGGCGAGGGCCTTTCTTCTGATGAGATGGCTGAGTTACGCCGCACCACGGATCTTGCTCTTCGTGCTACTAAGCAGGCTGCCTCTGCCATGGGCAGATCTATGGCAGCGATGGTAGTAACGGAGAGGCAGCTGTGGGTAAACCTGGCAGACATCGGGAAGAAAGAAAGGGGTTTTCTTCTCGATGCCCCGGTTTCGCCCTCTGAACTTTTTGGTACATCCGTTGAGACGGTCATCGAAAAGTTCAGGGAGGCGAAGGCACGCTCAGCGGCCTTCAAAACCTTCATTCCACGAAGGTCCAGGTCTGAGCCCGAACAAACCAGGGGTCCTGGCCCGTCTCGATTTGAGGATCAGAGACGAGCACAGAAGGCTAGTGTCGCGACTCGCGCTCCTCCTCCGCCTGCGGGTAGGGGTAGGAAGTATCGTGGGTCGAAGGGAGGTAGGCAAGACCTGAGGGATGTGATCCAGACAAGGCGTCAGAGCTTTCGTCCGGATCAGAGTAATACTTAGGTATCCACTCTTTCCCTCAGGGGATGTAACATCTACCCCGTTCTATGGTTAATCATAGTAACCACCTTACTGAAGGTCCGGTCTAGAGGCTTTCCCGGACAGAGCTCCAACGCGGGAGCCGTGGTGGGTGAGTACGATCCATGTCTAAATATATGTATATAAATATATGTATGTGCTATGGAACTGGTGGTTGTGTGTACCCTTCTGCTAGTTTCTTTGCAGTGTTTCCCGTGCTGGGTTCAGAAACCGGGTGCTCGACTTGCAGTGTTTATTTCACTCGTCGAGATATGTCCAGAAGGTAAGTAAGGTTTCGGTTTCATACTTCCTGGATCATGCGGCTATAACACAGGCTTCTGCGGGAGTTTTGTAATTATCAGGCCCCCGGTGTCACTGCAAAAAAATTTCCTGGACGTCCGGGCTAGAGACTAAACATGGTAGAGTTATATATATGTAAGCTGACAGGAGTGTGTTTCGATTATAAGCCTGCATAATAGTATACAATTTCAAAGACAAAATACACGATGACAATAATATACCCAATGACCTGAAGGATCATGTGTGTTCATTCAAAGAAAGGTTTTCCTATTAATTAATTAGCAAAGAAAAGTCCTTCCCTTGTGGATTTTCCTTATGGGCAAGGAAGCGATTTTCTTCACCTAAATGCCAGGAGGTCGTAAATGTATCGGGTGTCAGCATTGCTTATGGAACCAGGGGCCTGTTCAGCTTCCTGGGGTGTTACAGAGTATTTGTTAAATCTAGCTAACAAAATATATATTGTGTGTTTGAGTGGTCCAGACGCTAAAATGTTTTGTTTTCATTGTAAGTGTACAGAAATAAAAGTAGACCTTTATACAGTGATGCATGATTAATAAGACAATAAGTGTTTAAAGTTGATTCTGCTGGTATAAGGAAACAGTTGACGTGATCGCGCCGGTGCACACGCGTGCACACACACACACACACACACACACAAACCACATCAGTTATCATCAGGTTATTACACAGCATTGCATTGCTGCGGGCGCCCCCTTCTGGATTGGGGGTGAATTGCCTGTATTCGTTGTAAGGCCTCATGCACCGAACGGAGATGTCCGTACCGTGACAAATGCAAAATGATTTGCTGCTCAAGAAACAATTTTAATAACATGTGCACTGCTTAAAAATATGTACATTTATTCATTTAGCAGATGCTCTTATCCAAAATAATAAGTCCATGTCACACTTTAAGAGCCTTGAAGAACCTTTATCATCCATAGAATCATTTTATTGCACAAAAGATTCCTTATAGTGAAAACGGTTGCTTGGTCAGTTTTGTTATGGATTTTGGTTCTTTTACTGTTGTAGGCTGGACGGACCTTTTAAATAACTGAAATAATTTGGCAAAGTGATATGGTTATGTAACTACTTTAGCCATGCATTTCCATGAAAATAATTGCACACCTAAGAACATTCGTCAACCAATCAGATTCAAGCATTCAACCCCCGTTGTAGAATAGAATAGAACAAGATATTCTAATAGGGATGGCCACCCCACTCACAACTGCTGTCTCTTTTTCTCTTGGCAAGAAGTGCATTTATTCAGTCGCAGAACATCTTTACGACCACATCAAACTGGAGAAATTTCAGACGCGCTCTCCACTTCACTTCAGCGCCAGGCACGAGTCAAACAAGTGCAGAAACGGTACTGTGCTTGCAGCGCGTGCTCTTCAATTGCAAGCACAAAGGCGTTGGCGCACGCTGTAGCCTTTATCATTTCATATCAAAGCGCGCATGAAACTATGTGCATGCAATTGCCAGTTACCAAAAAGGCGATTAAAGCTGCCTTAAAACTGTGCATGCATGTAATATAATTTATATGAATCACATTTAAGAACATGTCTCTGAAATGGTTTTCAAAACTGTCCTGAAGCAGTTTTGAAAACCTGCAGACAGGGTGGTATGGCCGTAAGCAAGGACTGCCAGCACCGTCTCCCTCATCTAACACACCCAATTAAACTTGTCAGTTCATTAGTAGAGACAAAGTGGGTGAGAAAAGGTAAAGAGAGTTAAGAGAAATTACAATGCATGTCAGATCCGCATCACGTTCAGCAGTGGCAGCTCTTAAAGTAATAGCAGCCAAAACAACCTAATAACCAGCTGCTGTGATGTCTGTTAATCAAAGAGAGAAAAACAAGGAAATCGATAACTTTTATGGCTAAGGATTCATCTATATTTAATTTAGAAATGAGTGTTTTATAACTTCAATTTCAATTTCTGTATATTTCTGCTGAAGGGCACAGGTAATATGACATGTATTATAATGGGTTTATGTGAAAATTGTTTTAAGTTAACTTAAATTAGAAGTTATTTTGTAAAGTCTAATAAATGTTAAAATTGATGGCTCAATTATATTTTAATGTTGAATGGCTATAGACAATGGTTAAATATTAGGGGGACATTTTTTTTATTTTAAAAACGTTAATGTTAGGTGGGATTAATTGCGATTAATTTGTGATAAAAAAAAGGGAACACATCACTCCGGTGCTATCGTCTCTCCACTGGCTTCCAATCAGGTATAAGATTGATTTTAAGATTGAATTATTGGTTTTTAAAGCTTTACACAACTTGTCCCCAAATTATATTAGCGATCTCTTAGGGTCTCACACACCGGCTAGGTCACTTAGATCAGTAAATCAGTCGTTGCTGACTGTCCCTTGGTTCCAAAAAGAAGTCAAAACGTGACCGCGCCTTTTCAGTAGGTCCACGATTATGGAACGGTCTTCTCCTGTATATTCGGCAGGCTCCTTCTATAGAGGTTTTTAGGTCCCAGTTGAAGACACATTTTTTTTAGTCTGGCCTTTGAAGTAGAGAAAGTTTGACTTGGGAACCTTTTAGAAATGTTTGTTTATTTGTATGTAAGTTATGTGGGTGTATTTTATTTTATCCATAATTTGTGAAGCACTTTGGGCAACAAAGTTGCATTTAAATGTGCTATATAAATAAATGAAGTTGAAGATGAAGTTGAATTTCAGAAAAAATGTGTGATTAATTAGTTTTTTTTTTCTCAAAAAACGCTCAAAATCGACATAACCGGCAATGTGCTGTCTGCCCCGTGATAACCTCCCCTTGGAGTGACTCGAAAGACGGTGATTTTGTATCGACGATAGCCAGATTATTACCAATTGTTGGCAATATTAAGAGGATTTGGCATTTCCAATTAATGTAGGCCTGTTACATTCTTATTTTTATTAGGCCTATTATTATTATGAAGTTATTTTTTTTATTAAATTAAAATTACAATTAATTTACCCCGCAATAATTACCGCATAACTGATGTGCTGCAAGGATAACAAAAGATTAGGCTATTTACTCCTCAAAGTACGGGCCACAAGAGAAATATTAAGGGAATAAATTCAAACAGTTAGCCATATACCGTAATCAGCATATTTTGAAGTAGATTCGTCTCTCGTTGTCTCTGAGAGAATATGTGGTGTCTGATGCTGTAAGCACTGTCATTACTCCGTCATTCCGTTTTTGCATAGTGAATTGCCTAAGATTAAACATTCAAAACGTCTTTAAACGTTCTGGTTTAAAGCAGAAACATTTCCAACATTGCGACGTAACCAATTATATATGTAACATATATATATATATATATATATACATATATATGTCAACACATGTTTTGTCCGCAGAATGCTGTAGTTATGGTATTTAACCGTCTTGACCCTCTGGACTGACCCACAACTGTTCTGAGATAAGTTTGTAATTAGGAAATTAGCAGGACTTCTCAAGAGAGAAAGAGAGAGAGAGCATAGACTCCTCCCCTCTATCTCTGTCGTTCACAGTAAAGATTTATCAGTGAAGGTGTTTATCAGAGTTCTCAGAAAACTCCAAATTAATCTCTAAAGTGTTATCTCTATGCCCAAGCAGTGAAGACACTTCTTATGTAAATCATGACCTACTAATGCTGCTGTTATCAGACATAATGTAATTTGCATAATTGTCCCCTCATTCAGCAGCCCAGCTTGTTTAAATTTCGGCCTTTGGCTTTTGGTGGGTCACACCTTGTATAAGTCATAAAAACTCCACGAGTGGAATTTGCATAACACAAACTCAAAACTCCATGTCAGAGACAGAATTACATCACCGTTTAAAAGTTTTTAAAAGAACACTATTATACAATCAAAAATACAGTAAAACCAGTAATATTATGAAATTGTTACAATTTCAAATAACTATTCGTTAAGATCATTCAGAAATCATTCTAATATTCTGATTTGCTGCTCAAAAAACATTTCTGACTATTAACAAATTTGAAAACAGTTGTGCGGCTTCATATTTTTGTGGAAACCATTTTTTCTGGATTCTTTAATGAATAGAAAACTTAAAAACAGCATTTATTTGAAGCAGAAATCTTTTGTAACATTATATATGTCTTTAGTACATTATACATGTATATAGTTATGTTCTATTCATCATAATGTGAATTCAGCTGTAAATCATATAAAGTTGTGCTCAACATTGTTCATACCCTTGGTAAATACGATCTATAACAGTTCCCTGACCTGAACCCTATAGAAAATGAGTCCAACATGGAGCTAGGACTCTGAAGGGTCTGGAGTGATTCTGGATGAAGGAATGGTCTTGGATCACTTGTCAGGTGTTCACCAGCCTCATTAAGCATTATAGATGAAGACTCAGAGCTGTTATCTTGGCAAAAGGAGGTTGCAAAAAATATTGGAAAAAAAGGGTATTGTGACCAATGTGTATTAGAAGAAAATAATGATTTAAAAAATATATTTTCCCGCCATTTTAAATTCTTGTTTTCCAATGAAAGGTTAGATTTTTTTTTTTTTATGAAAGATCAAAAGGATTAACGATGCAGATCTATTTTCACAGCCTATTTTGATCATATTTACCTAGGGTATGAATCATTTTGAGCACAGCTGTATATGATGTAATGTACTGTAAATATGTCTCAGATTGAATTTCTTTTCATTTTTGTCACTGCTGAAACACTGAGCCAAGAACAACTTCTCCCACATCAGTACAAGGCATCTAGACATCATGAGCTTTGGGAATTTGGCAGAAAACATATTAGTTCAACTTATTGTGTAACATCTCGACATAAATAGACAAGTTTTCATCGTACATAACTTTTTTTTCATGATTTTTCTTTTTTTTTTCTGTGTGATTCATCTGTTTGCTTTGGTTCATGCTTTAAAATTCATTATTGCACATCTTTTCAAAATGCCTAAGAAGGGGAAACAGGAGAAAAATAAGAGCTTGAAAAATAAGTGCACTGAAAAACAAAATTGGTGGTGATTTATTTTGAAACATTTTCACTCAGAAAAGTCAATTTCACAAAAACAATAATTACAAAGAAACAGCAAGTTACACACTGAATCGCTTGACTTTGCTTGCACTATTTTCAAATATTTTGGTTCAAATTAATTTTTCATTTGTATTATATTTATGTTATTATATATGATATATGAGCCATTAGATTTTATGGTTTAACCCTTGTTCCAGATACTTCAAATACTGTAATATTTAGATAGCAACATTTTATATCTGTCATCTAACATATTAATTAGCAGGCCTATATTTATGAAACATGATAATCTAAACAAAAAGTGAAAAACAAACAAAAAACATTTTAATCGTTTTAATATTTTTGTGAATACATATATCAATTTTACTAGTACAACAACTACAAGGAGCATGCAACAAGACAATAAAAAGATTAAAGATCAAAATCATGTAAAAATATAGGACACATACTGAAATGAATACAAATCAAATGAAAATTAAATGGTTAAAATGTAATATTCACCATAGCATTATTTATACATAATTATGGATTTGGTGGAAATGGTGGTGTTATTATTAAATAAATCTAAAACAATTAAAATATTGAATACTAAAAAATGTTTCTGTTAATTGAAATAAAGCTGAAATATTATTAAATATAAATATTGGATGAAATGTTGCCGTGGCAAAAGTTGAAGTTGGAGTACTACAATCACTGAAATTAAAATAAATTACAGCTAAATATATATATATATATGTATAAACAATCTAAATTACTAAAACTTAACTAAACCTATACTAAAATGAAAATAAAACTGAAATATAAAAATGTAAGATAATTCAGAATATTAATAAATACTAAAATAGTATATAAATAAGCATAAAATAACACTGTGGAAAGGACACTGTAGCAGAAAAAGAATACTCCTGTTATGGATGTATATATTGGACTTTGTCAGACAAATTAACAATAACAATAATAGATCATATTAAATAAACTAGTGAGAGTGTAAAAAGTGTTTTAAGAAAAACCCACAAACTTTTAAGAGAGCTTATTTTCTAAAAGTCCACAGGGCCAAAATTGCCAATAGGTGCAGAAACACCCTTTTATATATATATATATATGTGTGTGTGTGTGTGTGTTCATGTCTGAGTGTGACATGTTTCTAGCAATCTCTCCCATCTCTCTCAGGGGGTCTTGTTTCAGAGAAATTGAGCAGAAAGATTCAGGCCAAGACAAGGGTAAATGTAGCGGGAGCCTTCAGCGCTCTAGAGCTGTCCGTCCTGCTGTGGAGCTGAAATGGCGAGTGATTGCACTTATGAGACTTTCGGCCACTTATGTGTGCTTCAGACTACACTGCCATCATCTTGATTCACAACGAGGCTCAGTGTCGGAGTCTCTCTCTCTCTCACTGTGCTGTCCTCCCACTGTTCCCTCATTTACCTGGTTAACAAACCACCTACTTCATACCCTCTCTTCAAAACATCTTATTTTGCTGAATTATGATATCTGTCTCCCGGGACTCCTCCTGCAACACAAAGGCCAGATAATAATGCTGAGCACCTCTTTTCAGAGTAAACGTGGATCGACGGTAACTGCCTAAAGAAGAGGCTTTCAACAGTCATTTATAAAGTTAGTTGAGTAAGAAGTTTGGTGGAAGCACAACAATTTTAGTCCTTTTCCTTTTTGAAGTCAACATGAAATCAAAATGCACCATTTATTTGCTTAAAGTAGTTCACCGAAACATGAAAATCTGTCATTTACTCACTCTTAACTCATGTGTTTCTGAACCCGTAAGGGATGTAAAATCACCATATTTTTGCTTTGACATCCTTTTAAAAGTAGCCTCCATTCACTGTATTTGCATGGAAGAAGAACAGCCAAATCTGTTCAACTTTTATAAGTCTCTAGTCACTACAGAAAATCTGAATTTAAAAGACAAGGGTGAGAAATTAAGACTGGATGCTCATTTTTGGGTCAACTATTATTGATCATAATTTGTACAGTTAATCTGCCCATGTTAGAATAAAGATAATGTTTGCCTTTCAAATCTAATAACTTTATCTGCCTCTGAAATGACTTTAAATGAGCCAAATCCAACATGTGTTAATTTCTATGTCTTTTACCACTGACTACAGATCTAATACCAGTAATACTAGGAAATCTAATAACCATCATCTAACTCTGCTCATACGTTACTAAAGCTCCACTGTTTCCTCTGAGCTCTGACAGTTTCATCAACTCGTTCTGTGTGTTTTAACCTTTCCATTGACATAGAGGTTTAAAAATCCCAGATGGCTAACCTGGTTTTCACACTAACCCTTATGTTGTGTTCTGGTCATTTTGACCCAGAGAGGATTTTCTTTTACCCAAAAAAGCTACTTAATGTTATTCCAATGGACTAAATCCTACTGATTTCGCTCACTCAGGTAACAACTTCAACTTCAACTTCGGGAAAAAAAAAAAAAAAAAGATTGGCACCGTGGTTGCTTTTGGGATCTTTAAAGGAACACTCCACTATTTTTGAAAATAGGCTCATTTTCCAACTCCCCTAGAGTTAAACAGTTGAGTTTTATCGTTTTCGAATCCATTCAGCCGATCTCCGGGTCTGGCGGTAGCACTTTTAGCTGTAGCTTAGCATAGATCATTGAATCTGATTAGACCGTTAGCATCTCGCTAAAAAATGACCAAAGTGTACTACATCGTGTACATCGTGTACATAGTACATCGTGTACTAAGACCGACGGAAAATGAAAAGTTGTGATTTTCTAGGCCGATATGGCTAGGAACTATACCCATGCAAAGTTCATTGATTATTACGCCAGAATGAGAGTATAGTTCCTAGCCATATCGGCCTAGAAAATAGCAACTTTTCATTTTCCGTCGGTCTTAGTACACGATGTAACTACAGAAGAGTCAAGTTTTAAATAGGATAAATATCGAAACTCTTTGGTCATTTTTGAGCGAGATGCTAACGGTCTAATCATATTCAATGATCTATGCTAAGCTACAGCTAAAAGTGCTACCGCCAGACCCAGAGATCGGCTGAATGGATTCAAAAACGGTAAAACTCAACTGTTTAACTCTAGGGGAGTTGGAAAATGAGCCTATTTTCAAAAATAGTGGCGTGTTCCTTTAAAATTAAAACCCAGGTAGGGTTAGGGG